CACAAAATTACAACAAGAAGCAAAGAATGGTTGTTCAGTCATCATCAAAGTTCGCAGTTTAATCTATCAGAGGACAACAGATGTTGCTCGCCGAGCAACAAATACAAAAAAATCGACAGGCTGTCAGATAGTGGTAAGGGTGATATAGTTTTAGAGCTTAGTATACCTGGTAAAACAGCTAAAACAAAACATGCAAAAGAAGGTTGGATTCTTACCCATGTTAATAGATTTAGCAATGAGAGTGCTTCCCGTGTTAGCGAAAACCGTACTACTGTGGATTCATTAATTTTCGTGGGTACCAATTTTCGTGGTTTGAGGAAACTTAGTATTTTCGTGGATATTTGATTTCATTGTTTTACTAAGGTTTGCATACAAGCCTATACAAAATAATGTGTTGAGCATTTCGATTCGTGGTTCACCTGTATCCACGAAATCAACGATAATTGACATCCCACGAATGAATCCACAGTACCTGCCTTGGGGGGTTGCTGCGTTGAGTGGTAAAGGAAGCGCTTCCATCAACAAAGCTATTTGATAAGACCTCTATCTTTAACGTGGAGTCGATGTTTGCTATGCAAATACACGTTGTAACGATCTGTACCTCATCCCAGGTAAATAACCTCCTATCTATGGAAATGGTCTGTACTCGAAACAAGGAAGACAACTCATTCTACGATGGTGAGGGGTTGATACAATTTCATAAGAGTCCTTTTAAAATCTTCCTCCCTTAGGTATGCTCCTAAAGACGTTAATAAAATGAATGAAGTAGACACTGGATAGCAAACGTACCGAAAGGCTCGCATCCAATGCGTCAAGCAAGAGCTAGGGACCTAGATTCATAAATACGCTCAGGTATTAAAAACCTACAACAGACTGAAAAAAGGTGTGTTCCACTGCATTTTGAACCTGTTCTGTTTTAAAAGTCAAATGCAAAACTAGTACACTCAGTACAGCTGCAAGGAATATACGCCATCGCATGCATGCCTTCTTAGTTCGTTAACTATCCTCAACTATATCGTAATGATTATGTTAACGGTGTTATAAAAACGAAACGACAAAAAAACAAAATAAATATACCGTTGCCTTGTTAGTACTTAGGTACTATATAGATCTAAGATCGAAGATACAGTCAGAAAGGATTTCAATAATAGCGACATCAGCGAAACAGAATTAGCAGCCTTTGTTAAATGTTTGTTTTTTACTATGATAAAAAATAAAAACTGTGACAACTTTCGACTTCATTTAGCAAGGATCTTCCTGCGCATGTACCATAGTCCCCTAACTCAATATACCACTCCGCTACGCTTTGCGTTGCCAACTGTTTCAGGGTTTACACCAATTCATAGTCGTCGAAATCATACCCTCGTTGCGAGTACTGATAGTTGAATAGTTGAAAACCTTATACTTCCGGCGTAGGTTCGATTTCCCCGACCGCCCGATCTCTTTGCTCAGCCGACTGTACACGCAAACATAATCTTCTCTCCTCTCCAGTCCAAAATCAACGTATACTCGCCACCATCCATTACTCATTTTGGCAAACCCCTAACGTATAAAAGTATAACACATTTAGCTGATCCTAAACTAAAATACCCCCGAATCTGTATCATGTGTATATGGGGACGACCATTCGATATTCGGTTTGGGGAGGGGGAGAGGGATTGTTTGCAGATTAAATAGTAATTTCCATCTGTTGTTGCGCGTTCTTAATCTTTTTCGCGTGGCCGTTTGAAAATTTATTTTTACATTTGTACAAAACTATTTTCAAAATTTCGTATTGCAGAATATTCATTATGATCCTGTCTGGTGCAAGATTATTTATTTTAAGGTTCTTCCAAGGTCAGGATATTCATTTTCAAAATTAAACTGTCTCTCCCTCTCCCCTGAAAATCAATGGGCCGTCGCCTAAAACCATGTCGTTTTGAGAGGTGATTATGATTCTGTCAGTTATTGTCGTTTGATCAGGAACAAGTTTCAAGCATAGTAAGGTATAATGCCACGCTTACTTCGGTTTGAAGAACAATCCTTTGGAAGGATTGGTGTCGGGAACTGTTGCAGAACATTTCTGTCTTATTTCAATACGCTCTTTTTCCAATGGCAGCCAAAATTTTTCTCCTTAATTCCGTACCTACCATTTTGCAGAATCTACTTGATTTACTGTTGGTGAATATAACCCGAGGGTTGACTTGCATATACATTTTGGAAATCCTATACTCCGCCTTTCGACAGTTTACCCATCATGGTCGCTGTCTTTCATATTTGTTTTTCGTTTATTGTTGGTTTCTTTAATTTTTTCATTTGAATTATTTTACATTTTGTCGCCATAATAGCTTACTATACGTACGTTTTTGTCAATGTTGAAGACGATATAGTGACCTAATGTTGCTTAAATCTACCACATTTGATCTCAATTAGAAAATTGTCTCATTGGCAATCAAACCTCATCATCTAATTTTTATATTTGTGACCGTTTGGTAGTAATTAGGGATGTAGAAATACACAGCCATGTCTTAACGGAATGTAAGTAATAGAACCACGCTTCAAAGAACCATTCCAACAAATATTTCATTGAAAATTATTGCCATTGATGGCTAAAATACATTACCAATGAAACTAAGCAGCATTTTATATTACAATGTTGAAATGTGCATATCTGTCCATATATATATATATATATATATGTATTTTAAAGATGTAAATATAAGAGGCATTACCATTTTATTTGTATATTTCAGCAAGCTGACTATTTCACTGCATCTGTCTGGTGTACCTCCTTCAACTACTATTAACTAGACATAAACTATAACATGGACAGGGTTTCAAGTTTAAAAAAAATATTGAAAAACCAGTGGTCCATAGGGTCAAAACACCAAAAGCTTAAAGATCAACAAAAATTTCAATTAAAAAAAAGCTTTTTAAATTTCGAGTCCTAGTTTCAGTTTGAACATAGCGCCACTCGAAACCTTGCGCAAAACGATGTGCATGTTTCTCCTCTACAAGACCTATATAGCCATACCCCGTGACACCCCTCATTATTTTTCTCTAGAAGCCATGGAATAGGCCAACCCCACGGTTTTATTTCCAAATTTTTCAAATTTCGAGCCCTAGTTTCAGATTTTTGAACATAGCGCCACTCGGAACCTTGTGCAAACGATGAGCCTGTTTCTCCTCTAAAATATTGAAAAACCAGTGGTCCATAGGGTCAAAACACCAAAAGCTTAAAGATCAACAAAAATTTCAATTAAAAAAAAGCTTTTTAAATTTCGAGTCCTAGTTTCAGTTTGAACATAGCGCCACTCGAAACCTTGCGGAAACGATGCACCTGTTTCTCTTCTACAAGACCTATATAGCTGTACTCCGTGACAACCCTCATCAATTTTCTCTAGAAGCCATAGAATAGGCAAACACCCCGTTTTTTTTTCCAAATTTTTTTAATTTTGAGCCCTAGTTTCAGATTTTCGAACATAGCGCCACTCAAAACCTTGCGCAAACGATGCGCCTGTTTCTCCTCTACAAGATCTATATAGCCATACCCCGTGACACCCCTCATTTTTTTTCTCTAGAAGCCATGGAATACAATGTAGGCCAACCCCCCGGTTTCTTTCCAAATTTTTTTTCAAATTTCGAGCCTTAGTTTCAGATTTTTGAACATAGCGCCACTCGAAAGCCTGCGCAAACGATGCGCCTGTTTCTCCTCTACAAGACCTATATAGCCATACCCCGTGACATCCCTCATTAGTTTTCTCTAGAAGTCATGGAATAGGCCAACCTGCAGGTTTTTTTCTATTTTTTTTCAAATTTCGAGCCCTAGTTTCAGATTTTTGAACATAGCGCCACTCAAAACCTTGCGCAGACAATGCGCCTGATTCTCCTCTATAAGACCTATATAACCATACCCCTAGGCACCCCTCATTATATTTCTCTAGAAGCCATGGAATAGGCCAACCTGCCGGGGTTTTTTTCCATTTTATTCAAATTTCGAGCCCTAGTTTCAGATTTTTGAACATAGCGCCACTCGAAACCTTGCAAAAACGATGCGTATGTTTCTCTTCTACAAGACCAATATAGCCATACCCCGTGACATTCTTCATTATTTATTCTCTAGAAGCCGTAAAATAGGCCAACCCCAAGGTTTTTTTCCAATTTTTTCAAATTTCAAGCCCTAGTTTCAGATTTTTGAACATAGCGCCTCTCGAAACCTTGCGCAAACGCTGCATAAGACCAATATAGCCCTACCTTGGGACATCCCTTATTATTGTTCTCTAGAAGTCATGGAATAGGCCAACCTGCAGATTTTTTTCCAATTTTTTAAAATTTCGAGCCCTAGTTTCAGATTTTTGAACATAGCGCCACTCAAAACTTTGCGGAGACGATGTGCCTGATTCTCCTCTATAAGACCTATATAGCCATACCCCGTGACACCCTTCATTATTTTTGTCTAAAAGCCATGGAATAGGCCATTCTGCCGGGGTTTTTTTCCAATTTTTTCAAATTTCGAGCCCTAGTTTCAGATGTTTGAACATAGCGCCACTCGAAACCTTGAGCAAACGATGCGCCTGTTTCTCTTCTACAAGACCTATATAGCCATACCCCGTAACACCCCTCATTTTTTTCTCTAGAAGCCATGGAATAGGCCAACCCTCCGGTTTTTTTCCAAATTTTTCAAATTTCGAGCCCTAGTTTCAGAATTTTGAACATAGAGCCTCTCGAAAGCTTGCGCAAACGATGCGCCTGTTTCTCTTCTACAAGACCTATATAGCCATACCCCGTGACACCCCATCATTATTTTTTTCTAGAAGCCATGGAATAGTCCGATTCCCTGGTTTTTTTTCCAAATTTTTCAAATTTCGAGCCCTAGTTTCAGATGTTTGAACATAGCGCCACTCGAAACCTTGAGCAAACGATGCGCCTGTTTCTCTTCTACAAGACCTATATAGCCATACCCCGTAACACCCCTCATTTTTTTCTCTAGAAGTCATGGAATAGGCCAACCTGCAGGTTTTTTTCTATTTTTTTTCAAATTTCGAGCCCTAGTTTCAGATTTTTGAACATAGCGCCACTCAAAACCTTGCGCAGACAATGCGCCTGATTCTCCTCTATAAGACCTATATAACCATACCCCTAAGCACCCCTCATTATATTTCTCTAGAAGCCATGGAATAGGCCAACCTGCCGGGGTTTTTTTCCATTTTATTCAAATTTCGAGCCCTAGTTTCAGATTTTTGAACATAGCGCCACTCGAAACCTTGCAAAAACGATGCGTATGTTTCTCTTCTACAAGACCAATATAGCCATACCCCGTGACATTCCTCATTATTTGTTCTCTAGAAGCCGTAAAATAGGCCAACCCCCAGGTTTTTTTCCAATTTTTTCAAATTTCCAGCCCTAGTTTCAGATTTTTGAACATAGCGCCTCTCGAAACCTTGCGCAAACGATGCATAAGACCAATATAGCCCTACCTTGGGACATCCCTTATTATTGTTCTCTAGAAGTCATGGAATAGGCCAACCTGCAGATTTTTTTTCCAATTTTTTAAAATTTCGAGCCCTAGTTTCAGATTTTTGAACATAGCGCCACTCGAAACATTGCGCAAACGATGCACAAGACCTATATAGCCATTACCCGTGACACCCCTCATTATATTTCTCTAGAAACCATGGAATAGGCCAACCTGCCGGGTTTTTTTTTCCACTTTTTTCAAATTTCGAGCCCTAGTTTCAGATGTTTGAACATAGCGCCACTCGAAACCTTGCGCAAACGATACACAAGACCTATATAGCCATACCCCGTGACATTCCTCATTATTTTTCTCTAGAAGCCGTGGAATAGGCCAACCCCCAGGTTTTTTTCAAAATTTTTCAAATTTCGAGCCCTAGTTTCAGATTTTTGAACATAACGCCACTCGACACCTTGCGCAAACGATGCACAAGACCAATATAGCCATACCCCGTGACACCCCTGATTATTTTTCTCTAGAAACCATGGAATAGGCCAACCTGCCGGGTTTTTTTCAATGTTTTTCAAATTTCGAGCCCTAGTTTTAGATTTTTGAACATAACACCACTTGAAACCTTGCGCAAACGATGCGCCTGTTTCTCCTCTACAAGACCTTTATAGCCATACCTCGTGACACCCCTCATTATTTTTCTCTAGAAGCCATGGAATAGGCCAACCCTCCGGTTTTTTTTTCCGAATTTTTCAAATTTCGAGCCCTAGTTTCAGATTTTTTAACATAGCGTAACTCAAAATCTTGCGCAAACGATGCACAAGATCTATATAGCCATACCCCGTGGCACCCCTCATTATATTACTCTAGAAGCCATAGAATAGGCCAACCTGCCGAATTTTTTTTCAATTTTTTTCAAATTTCGAGCCCTAGTTTCAGATTTTTGAACATAGCGCCACTCGAAACCTTGCGCAAACGATGCGCCTGTTTCTCTTCTTCAAGACCTTTATAGCCATACCCCGTGACATGCCTAATTATTTTTCTCTAGAAGCCATGGAATAGGCCAACCCCCCGGTTTTTTCATAATTTTTCGAATTTTGAGCCCTAGTTTCAGATTTTTGAACATAGCGCCACTCGAAACCTTGTGCAAACGATGCACAAGACCAATATAGCCATACCTCGTGACATCCCTCATTAGTTTTCTTTAGAAGTCATGGAATAGGCCAACCTGCAGGTTTTTTTTCTATTTTTTTTCAAATTTCGAGCCCTAGTTTCAGATATTTAAACATAGCCACTCAAAACCTTGCGCAGACGATGCGCCTGATTCTCCTCTATAAGACCTATATAACCATACCCCTAGGCACCCCTCATCATATTTCTCTAGAAGCGATGGAATAGGCCAACCTGCCGGGTTTTTTTTTCATTTTTTTCAAATTTCGAGCCCTAGTTTCAGATTTTTGAACATAGCGCCACTCGAAACCTTGCAAAAACGATGCGCATGTTTCTCTTCTACAAGACCAATATAGCCATACCCCGTGACATTCCTCATTATTTTTTCTCTAGAAGCCGTGGAATAGGCCAACCCCCAGGTTTTTTTTCCAATTTTTTTCACATTTCGAGCCCTAGTTTCAGATTTTTGAACATAGCGCCTCTCGAAACCTTGCGCAAACGATGCACAAGACCAATATAGCCATATCCCGTGACACCCCTCATTTTTTTTGTCTGAAAGCTATGGAAAAGGCCATTCTGCCGGGGTTTTTTTTCCAATTTTTTCAAATTTCGAGCCCTAGTTTCAGATGTTTGAACATAGCGCCACTCGAAACCTTGCGCAAACGATGCGCCTCTTTCTCTTCTACAAGACCTATATAGCCATACCCCGTAACACTCTCATTTTTTTTTCTCTAGAAGCCATGGAATAGGCCAACCACCCGGTTTTTTTCAAAATTTTTCAAATTTCGAGCCCTAGTTTCAGATTTTTTAACATAGCGCCACTCGAAACTTTGCGCAAACGATGCGCCTGTTTCTCCCCTACAAGACCTATATAGCCATACCCGGTGACTCCCCCCATCATATTTCTCTAGAAGCTATGGAATAGGCCAACCCCCTGTTTTTTTTTCAAATTTTTCAAATTTCGAGCCCTAGTTTCAGATTTTTGAACATAGCGTCACTCGAAACCTTGCGCAAACGATGCACAAGACCTATATAGCCATACCCCGTGACACCCCTTATTTGTTTTCTCTAGAAGCCATGGAATAGGCCAACCCCCCAGTTTTTGTTTCCATTTTTTTTTAAATTTTGAGCCGTAATTACAGATTTTAGGACATAGCACCACTCAAAACCGTAAACAAACGATGCGCCTGTTTCTCCCCTACAATACCTTTATAGCCATACCACATGACACCCCTCATTATTTTTCTCTAGAAGCCATGGTATAAGCCAACCCCCCGGTTTTTTTCCAAATTTTTCAAATTTCGAGCCCTTCTTTCAGATTTTTGAACATAGCGCCACTAGAGACCTTGCGCAAACGATGCGCCTGTTTCTCTTCTACAAGATCTATATAGCCAATAAATCAAGGGTAAGTAAATTTTGGCTCAAATGGTCTATTTTTTTTTAAACCAACAGTTTCATTTCTGAAATTTGTTTGTTAGTTCAATTAAACAAGGACAACAAAGGTGCTATTATTTTTTTCAGGGAAGGACTACTTTAATATACGTTCTAAATTGAAATGGGTGCATTGGTGGTCTTACACCTACAACCAATCCATTGACATGTGCAGATTTACTGTGGTACTGAATGTTACCCTGAAAAGGAGTGTGTTTTATAAACAGATGTGGTAAATCCTATTTTATGATAGAGATGTAAATTTCTACCTTTTAAATATTTTTTTTTAACGGCCGTTGCTGTTTTTTTGCAATTTTTCAGTTTTTAAATATATTGCCTTATTGTTCGCTGGCTTATTGTTCGCTAGTTATTGTTCGCTAGCTTCAGCCTTGTTTTAAATATGTCACTAATTTGAAACTCAAAGAAATCAATGTTGTAAAATCCTTTTTGTTATTAAATGTACCTTTGAAAATCAATGGCGTCATGAATAATTCAGTTGTTTTAGAACAAAATGTTCTTTGTAAGCTCAATCGTATCTCTTGTATGCATCATATGGTTATTTTCACATATTGATGAATATTTAAGATAATTGTCATATATGAGATGTTAACTAAGTGTTTATTATATAAAACGTCCGTTCTGCAGATAAAAGATAAGTAAACTTAACTATTCGTAAAAATTCATACAGTGACTTGTATGTCGTTTATTTGTAGACCAGACAAAATGTGTTTACTTTACATAGTGTTTATAATTTTACATATATCACTATCTGTTTCCTTCGCATCGACGGATTTTAACCGAAATATATTTGATAAGCAGAAAAATAAAAGAATGATTTCGAGTAACACGACATTATCAATAGATATCGTGCGATCATTAGTTAAATGCGCAGGTGCGTGTTCTTTAGTCCGACAGTGTTGTTCAACATCCTACGAAACGGCATCTGGACGCTGCATTTTAGATACACGGTCTACACCAGAAACAGAGACAACTGACAATTCAAACGTTATGGTGAAGATTCCAGGTATTTCAAAGACTTTTTTTAAAAACTTTAAACATTTTTAAAAGGTCCAACTACCTAAGAATTAGACAGTTTTGAAAACATGACAAACAAAAACCCACTCAAATTTACATTAATTTAAGTTCAAAATATATAATGGTGCAAGGTTATAACATTCGTTTCCTTTTCCTCTTCTGGTAATTCAAGATATCATTTGGTTGAAATGCACTAGAAATTACCAAATAAGGGGAGCTAACTCCATAATTGCTATCATTCTAACCAATAGTTATCTAGCGATTTTTCGAATCAAAAGACACGCAGAAACGAAACACCTACCATTTCTTACTCAGGAGGAATGTACCTTCAAAATTTGATGGTTAGGTCAGTGGTTTTTTTTTTCAATCATGTTTTGAAATTCTTCTAAATTGCCTGATTCTTACAAAGACTGGCACTTAAAGAACGATCGCTGATTGTGTTTAAAACTTTTTGTTAAATATTCGGGTTTCTTTAATTTTAACCATGTAGCTACATTTAAAACTTTTGTCAGATATTCGGGTTTCTTTAATTTTAACGATTTAGCTACATCTAAAACTTTTTGTCAGATATTCGGGTTTCTTTGATTTTAATATAATCATGTAGCTTCATTTAAAACTTTTGCGCGCTAACCTCTACTTGTTTCATAATTTTATTACGAATAGTTTTAACAGCCATTTTTGAACCTTATAAAATCCGTGTTAATTTGTCATAGTTTTTAAAAGAAAGAAAACCATAACCAATGCTAAATGTATAAAGATCTCTACAGAATAACTTTCCGCCAAATTTTCAATGTTTTGTCTCACAAAAACATGGACCGAACCTTTCATTTTCTTTCAACTTTTTTATCTCTGTTATTTAATTTCCAGCCAAATTTTCTATGTTTATCAACGTATTATAGTCTTCTAAAAAGCCAATTTGGGTATTCGGGCATTTTAGGCAATGTGACGTTAGTAGTCTATGCATATGCAAGGAAAGGGTAACACACTCCTGATATGAGGCCCTAGATTTAACATACCTATTCCGAAAAGATGTGGTTGTATATTTAAACATCCCGAACTTCCAAATTAATGTTCTTTTTCAGAATGTTTTTTTTTGTTTTCTATCTGAGCTGGAGAGGTTTGGATATAACCACAATAGCATACCCTTTCAAACCCTTTAAGTTGTATGCATAGTCAAAATCATTTTAAATCATGTAAAACTATACTATCCGAAAATATAAACCTACTAATCGATGCCACAGTTCAGTTTTTTTTTTTGTTTTTTTTTTTAAATTCTAAAAGGGACGTTTTCCCAGGTGAAATAATATTGCTCTTCCTTAGATCTTCTTACAACAGCCTAGCTTTTATATGGGTAATCTCTTTCTTTTACTTATAATCTATACTACTAAAATAACAAGGTCCAATTTGTTATCCGGCATGACGCAAAAACGACGAATCAAAGAATTCAACTTTATATATAACTAATATAGGACAATGGTCTTGATTAATAATATCAACAATTCCAGGCCCTTTTGTTTTCCACATAATTAATATAACCAAAAAATAACAAGTTCCGGGTCGAATCCGATACCGATATCAATAGTATATGTCACATGTAGTTTCCGATTGTATTTCTTTCTTTATTCTTCCTTCCACTATCTGGAGTACCACTACTATATTGTAGTAAGAAAACCATGATGGGTTGAAACAGAAAGATTTTAAAAGCAGAGAAAACGGTGCACCTTATAATCAACATGACTTTATCAAATGACAATACGAATACTGAAAATCCAGGCTAAAACTAAGGCGTAGCCAAGTACTTTATTCAGTCACGGACCCGCGGGTGTGTTCTAGTATGAATTATATAAAATAAAACTTTAAGAGTAGTTTGTACTAAGCTATAAATCTTTGGGTTTCTCTTTTTTTTCGATTTTCTTTCTTTATTTTTTTTTTTGCTATGATATTCTAGTCTCTCTTCGACTTTTGATTCTGTATTTAGTGTCTTCTGTTATTTTTACAGATTCAATTGGTAACCTTCAACTAAGAGACTGCAGTGAACTCCCACCTTGCACGAGGAGCGGAGTATTTGTAATATACCCGGATGTAACTAACAAGATAAATGTATATTGTGATATGGATACTGCTGGTGGTGGATGGACGGTATATTTAGATTAGAAATCGTTAAATCATACATCAATATGATTGAAAAACAGATCCTGTGTCAACGCATCGCTTACAATGATTTGCCAACACTCCTTCCTACTTTATGTTCTGGTAATATTATTACTGTATCATATCAGCCAATTAAATGTCAGCCTTTGACTTTCACTTTTTGACGCATGTATCATTACAGAACCAAGGATCCCCAAAGGTCTCTTATTTAACAGATAGTAGAGAGGGAAATTGCCATATCCTTGTATTCAAATAATGGTCACAGGTTCTGTTTTTTAATCAGATTGATTATATATGAAAGTCCTTATCATTGCTTTTAATTTCAAATTTGTACATGGTGCTGCAAAAGCTATTCAAATTTGTAAAGGATGAAACAAAAGCCCAAGTTACGATTGCTTCAATACAAAATTCGTGATAATGGTAAAACTAGTTTGCTGAAAATTCAATATAAAAATGATCTTTTAAAGTAGCTATTGAAGATATCTTGCATTTGTATATGTCATGTGGAAACCTTTTTAATAACAGTATATTGATACAGGATAAAGTATCTGACGACTGATAAAAATATCAATATGGTGAAGGAGTGATAAAGGAGTTATAATAATTAATCAACATAGTTTTTAAATTCTTGACATTTATGCATAAAATATTTTATTTTCGTTTTTTAAGATATTACAGCGACGGGTTGACAATTCTGTAGATTTCTACAGACACTGGAATGATTACAAGATGGGTTTTGGAAGTGTTTCCAAAAACCACTGGCTTGGTGCGTATCACTATCAAATGATAATAAGAATGGTTTTGGAAGTGTTTTTTTCGAAAACTAATCTCTTGGTGAGTCACTATCGAATGATTACAAGAATGGGTTTGGGAGTGTTTCCGAAAACCACTGGCTTGGTGAGTATCACTATCGAATGATTAAAAGAATGGTTTAAGAAGTGTTTCCAAAAACCATTGGCTTGGTGAGTATCACTATCGAATGATTCAAAAATAAAACACAGGAGGAAGATACCTAAGGGACAATTGAAGTTCAAAAGTCAAAATAAACTGGCAACTCCATGTCAAAACATTAAAGAGAGGCGAAGAAATCCAAAAGGGACATTCTAACTCATAAGTCGAAAAATAAACTGACAACGCCATGGACAAAGACAAACAGACAAACAACAGTACACAAAACAACATAGAAAACCTAAGACTGATCAACAATAACCCCACAAAAAACTGAGGGTGATCTTAGGAGCTCCGGAAGGGTAAGCAGATT